GTTTCCCTCTTTTGTTTAATCTTCCACCCTTTGTCTGTCGAACCACCCAATAGTTCTTTGGGAGGTGCCTTCTGTGGACCCTGATGGGCAGTAAAACAACAACTCCCAAGGAACACCACAGCACCTTCCTTTTATTTACACATCAGCAACAGGAACCAGAAAGGCTGGAGGAACAGATAGTGCTGGCAAATCCCTTGAAAACCCTTCTCAGTGGGGTGGAAGTTTGCTCAGGAGTGCTGGCTTGGGTTTCTGGGCTGCAGTTCCTGGACTTCTTGAAATGAAGTCCAAAAGCGCAAAGAAGCACCACCCCTGCCTATGACAGGGCTGGCCCCACCACTAGCTGGACTTAGATTATTCCCTCAGGCAGCAGGGCACTGGGGGTGGCAAATTTACCACTCTCCCTCATGCGCCCTCCTGCACACTCCTACAGCTTTACAGGAGGAACGGTGTCACCCGTGGCTGTCCTGCTCCCAAATTTGCTTGCATAACAAGAACATCTCATCTCAGGCGAGAGGATCCAGAGGCAGACAGAAGCTCTGAGAAGTGATACAACGGCTGGAGTCACGAAGGCGGTAAGAAGTGTGGCAAAGGAATGGGTGGAAAATAACCAGGGATGCATAAAAAAATTAAAATGAGATGTGATTTCTTTCATTCTAAGCTGTCCAGCAAACAGGTGCTCCTCTTAACATTCTTCTAACAAGTTTGGAAATTTTATACCCACCATTTCACATAACTTTCCAAGAAATGAATACTACTTACTTCAGAACAATACTCTACCCAGTGGTTGGCCCTACCCTTAGGCAGAGTGAGGCGAATGCCTCAGGCAACATATATCAGAAAGTGGAAGCAGGAATCCACTGACTGTTTCTCCTGAGCCCTCTGGCCATTCCCAAGGTCTGTCCAGTTTGTCCTGCACCCTCAAACTTTGCCTGCTGGTATCAAATATAGTAGAGAATGCTATCTTGTCAGCACTGTTGTAATAAAGATGCAACCTGTACCTCAGGCAGCAAAATTTGGGGGGCAGCTCCCTTCCACACTATTGAAAATAGGGCAGAATCGGAACAAATCTGTCTCTGTACATAAACATCCAATATTGTTTTGGTTTTTGGCAGGGGTAACTTAAGCCAATTCACATGACAAGGCTGACCAAAATGAATTCACATACACACAGAACCTCAACACACATTAAGGTAGGAATAGAAGAATTGGGTCTTGAGTTCCAATCTGCTCAGTTTCTTTACACACAACTTAAAATCTGTCAGTTTATGTAAACATTGTTTTATTTCCCGTTACACAAAGTTTCATATTAAAATGAACCGAGTTTCATCTAAAAGGCTTCCTGTAACAAGGCAAACTGGTCAAGCGTTCAGCATTTAAAGGCAACCTTATCCTGAACATTCCTTAGGAAATGACAGTCAAGAAATGATTTTGGCAACTCACCTATTTTCACGATTTGCTTAAGACACCACCAGCGGTGAGAATTAAACCTGTTCTTCCCTTTCCACCCCATGATATTGTCCTATGTGTCAACTACAACGCAGAAAAGGGCACTGATTCACTTCGGTGTTTCCCTTAGGGAAAAAAAGCAGAGAAAGGCACAAGAGAAAGGCATGGCCAGATCCGCCTGAATACAAAAAGGCAAAGGAGGACAAGCAACAGACCAGAAAGGGAGAAGTGCTAGCTTTGGAATCTGTGGAACTAAAGCTGGCCCCTCAAATTCAAGTGAAGGGACCCAGATCCTTCTTTACTTATTTCCATGGCAACAAGCTTGTTTCCATGCACCGTTTAGATGAAGTCAGGTGTTCCTAAGATCTTTCAGCTGAAATCACGGTCTGGGAACACGAGGGGGGCAACCAGAGTCCACAGGTAGAGGAGAAGTCCAGCCCAACTCGAAGAGATTTTCACCCACACGGCTGTCCAAGGGCTGGTCAGCTCTTGGTGTTGTTGGTCGGGCCTAGGAGAGAGAAAAAAAGGAACACGCAAAATAAATACCAAATCAGGTGGAATAGCTAATACCTTAAAAGACAGAAACAACATTCAAAATGACCTTGATAGGATGGAGCACAGGGCCGAAAGCAACAGAATGAAATTCAACAGGGAGAAGCGCAAAGTCCTGCACCTCGGAAAAAGAAACCAGCTGCCCAGTTGCAAGATGGGAGGGGAGAGAGACCTGGCTCAGCAAAACAGCGAGCAAGAAGGATCTTGGAATTGTTGTAGATCAGAAGCTGAATATGGTCCAGCAGTGTGATGTGGCTACAAAATAAGGAAAATGCTATTTTAGGCTGCATTAATAGAAGTACGGTTTTCAAATCCCGCGAGGTGCTAATGCCCCTCTATACAGCACTGGTTAGGCCTCACCTTGAGTATTGTGTTCAGTTCTGGACACCACACTTCAAGAAGGATGCTAACAAATTGGAACAAGTTCAGAGAAGGGCGACAAGGATGATCAGGGGGCTGGAAACCAAGCCTTATGAGGAAAGGCTTAAAGAACTGGGCATGTTTAGACTTGAGAAAAGAAGACTGAGGGGTGATATGATAGCATTTTTCAAATATTTGAAAGACAGTCATACAGAGGAGGGGCAAGATCTGTTCTCAATAATCCCAGAGTGCGGGATATGCAACAGTGGGCTCAAGTTAAAGGAAGCCGCATTTCAGTTTTATGTCAGGAAAATCTTCCTAACTGTTAGAGCAGTATGACAGTGGAACCAGTTACCTTGGGAGTTGGTGAGTGCTGCAACACTGGAGGCATTCAAGAAAAACTCAGATAATCACCTGGCTGATCTGCTTTGATTTGTATTCCTGCATTGAGCAGCGAGTTGGACCTCATGGCCTTTTAGGCCCCTTCCCACCTCACCTTTCTATGATTTCTATGATTCTATAAGTCTTTCAGTTCAAGACACATTCCAAAATGTTATCTTTTATGCCTCATCACTGCCATCATTTCGCCTCAAAGGCCAGCATCCCACTGGTATTCCCAGCTAATGCAGGGCCCAGTGAATCTATGGCATTTATGGAAGTGTGGAGTCAGCAACTCATTCAATAGATTGACTCTAGTTGGAAGCAGTCCTTGCATTACACCATAACCCCACATTAGCTCCCACAGCTGCAAGTCCAAGAGACATGATGGGCAAAGCAGGTAGTCCAGACCCCAAGGACAGCTAATGAGCTTTCTGTTGCTTGAGTATGCAAATCAATGGCACGCTATTCTTCTGCTGAGCTCTCTCAGAGCTTGGAAAAAATTGTTTTGTTGAATTACAAATCCCAGAATTTCCCAGCCAGCCCAGATGACGAATCTAAGAACTGTAACCCTGGCTCTCCCAAAAGGTGAAAGGCATCTGCTTCCCCCAGGCACTCAAACAGATACTGGAGCAGAAAAACCATTAAAGAGCTGGTAGTTTTCAGTCCTTTGGGCATGAAATAAAAATGCCTCTCAAAAATCCTGTGTGCAGAGAAGAGCTAAATGCTAGAAGTTTTACACATGCTATAGGCTGACATGTTTTATTTATTTTTGATGTATTTATTTATTTATTGTACTTATATCCCACCCTGGACAGCTAACAAATGACACAGAACAAGACATTCAGTCCAAAACAGCATGTGAGAATAACAGAAGAAACATGAAATCATAAAATTATAGAATATAGCAAACCCTCCTCCAACAGGGATAGCAAATCATTTAAAATTACATTCAATGCATTGAAAGACCTCTTGGAGGGGAGGATGGAGAAAATGCCTGTTTCAAAAGCACTGTTTACACCTGCTTTCTGAACGACAGGAGCGTGGTGCACACCCACCGATAGTGAATTCTATAACGCTGAGACCACCACTGAGAAGGCCTGGTTCCTGGTGGACATTTTCCAGGCCTCACCTGGGATGGCCACCTGCAACAATACATCCTAAGATGATTGGTGGCTCAAGAAGCATATCTTAGGAAGAGATGCTCCAACAAGTATTGAGGTCCCAAACCATTTAGGGCTGTATAAGTTAGATTTGGGACGAAGCAGACAGGCAACCAATGGAGGCTTGCCAAAATCAGGGAAACATGATCATATCTGGAAATTCCCACAATCAATTTGGCAGCCACATTTTGTACTTGTTGCAGCTTCCCTATCACCTTCAAAGGCAGCCTCATGTAAAGAGCATTGCAGTAATCAATCCTTGAGAATACCGAAGCATGAACAAGTGTGGTCAGGAATTTCCTGCCCAGATAGGGCCACAAGTGTGCAATCTGCTGGAGGTGAAAAAAAATGCAGCCATTTACTTCTCCACAGAGAATGCCAGGTTGAGGAGCATTTCTAATTTGCAGACCTGCTCCCTTGGAGAGAGCGTGACCCCACTGAGACCAGGCAAACTACCCCCTAGCTGGTCGGCCCTCGGCTCCCCTCCCAACAATATTTTCTCGGGATTCAATTGTGGTCTGTTACCCCCCCCTGTCCAGTCCATTACTGAGGCCAGCCATCACTCAAAGGCCTGGACGACTTCCACTGCTGATGTGGTAAAGGTGAGACATGAGTTGCATGCCATCCGCATATTGGTGGCAGCACTCTCCAGAACTCTGGATGACCTCCCCCAGATGCCTCATGGAGATGCTAAGCGGCACTGGGGAAATAATGTTGCAGGACCAAGCAATAAGCAGAACAAGGAGGCTTCCAGGTCAAGTGGGGAATTATGTCCAGAGGCCCAAGATAGTCTCCCTTTTTGCATCTGACAGCACTGAACACAAAATGTCAAACACTGACAAAGTGTGGCCTCCAGATACTTTGGAACTGCAAATATCATCATCCCTCATCAATGGCCATGCTGGCTGATGGAAAAGGTGGTCCAACCTCATCTGGAGGACCACAAGCTGTCTGCATCTGGCCTAGATGCTGGTTTGCAATAAAGCCAAGCTGGGGAAAGTGATGACTCCCCCAATGTTTCTGGACCTCAGTTCTCATAAGCCCAGCTTGCATGCTCAGTCGTTAGGGATTTTGGGAATTCTAGTCCAACAGTATTTGGAGCATGGAAAGCGACTCTCCTTTTTAAAAAAAAAAAAAGAAAGGAATTCATTTTGGCTACTTATCTTGGTATTTAAAAAACTGTTAGCATTACTTTTTATGGGCTAATAAGGAACAAAGTGAGTGACCAATTAGATTGATTGTTATTTTTCTTTTCCTTGCTGTTAATTGTTTAAAATTTTTTAGTACTGCTAGAAGAATGGCACAAAAAACCCACAAAACATGACTCTTAAAAATACTTTTAAACATTAAATTAAAAGACATTTTAAGTAAACCAAAAATATTATTTGTCATACCACATAAAGCAATTTTGTTCCCCCTTGCTACATCACTTCTGGAATGTGACTTTGCAACACACTTATAACTAAAGGAAAATTATTAGTTACAGGCAGCTACATGACTTTCATGCTCTGCAGGTCACGCAAGACCTCTCTCCGTGGGTTGCAGGTTCCACAGATATACAATTTCTTTCTTTAAGTCCTGTTCATGGCCATCTGCTCTGTCACTGGTCCCCTGAAATGTCTATATTCAAATGTCATCTACCATGGAATTCCAACTGCAAGAGCAGAATGCTACAGTTCTTGCCCAACTTCTAGGCTTCTCAAGAAGGCCACCATGTAAACCCATGGGTTGTACTGGTCTCAATGGATCCCTGGGTCACTGGGGTTCACATGCTCGTATTTTAAAAATCGTCCATGCCCAACAGTTTATACATGTTGGATCAGTAACTGATGCATCCTTAAGCAATAAGTTCATAACAACAAGGAGAACAAAACACCCCCACAGGACTGAGATTCTTTCTTGCATTTTTCCCATGCCTAGCTAACATAGGAACAAATTTGTTTAAAGGTAGCATCTGTCCACAGCTGGACTGCAGCTGTGATTTAGAGAGGGTCTGATGCAATACGTCCCCAAGATCCCAGACACAGAACACTGCAGCATCATTCAGTATCGCAACCTCATGTGCCCTGGAGTTTGTTCTTCAAAATCATTCTGGCAGCCTTCTTAAATTGCTTTCACTGCTATGGTAACAGATCCTCTACAGAAGGAGCTGCCTTTTTTTAAAAGCACCTGGAAAATTCTGTTGCTACAAAATCCAGCAAGTGAAAACTGGAAGGAGCACTTTGCATAACAAGACTATTGCACCAACTTCACAGGTAACTGATTTGTTTTGGGCTCAGCGTGAAGTGCTAGTTTTCAGTGTCAAATGCACACCCCACCCTCAACCTTAGAGGACCCTTCCCACAAACCCACCCCATTTTTAAAAATGGGAATTTTAAAAAGACCTGAAAAATCCCCTTTGTGTCTTCTGGTGGTCAATGTTTAAAAAAAAAAATCACAAAAGAGGGAGACTTCAAACATGGCAGAATTGCCTCCCTCCTAGAAAAAGCAGCTGGTTGGATAACTCAGTCATTTAGGTATCTGGCTGTGGAGCCAAAGGGTGGGGCTTTGATTTCCCCACTGTCATCTCAAAAGGGCCAGCTTGTGTGGTCTTGGGCAAGCTGCACGGTCCCAGGGCACTCCCAGGAGAAGGGAATAATAAACCACTTTTGAGCATTCAGTACCCAGGAAACCCTAGAAAGAGTTGCTGTAAGTTGGAATTGACTTGACAGAACACAATTATTATTAGTAGTAGTATTATTAGAGAATACAGATGGATTTTATAAACCATTTAAAAAAAAATAGATTGGAAGGTGTCTGGAGGTGCAGTTAGATACCTAGGGGCTCCCAGACTGCTTGTTGCCCAACTCGGCAACAAATCTTTTAAAGACCTGGATATGCATCTCTAAACTGCCAAATCCCATACAAAGCTATCAAGACACTGCAGTCAAAGTCAGCACTGCTTCATGCACTGCCAGATACCTCAGTGGTTTAGGCATCTGGCAGTGGGGCGAAAGATGAGGAGTTCAATTCCTCACTGTGCCTCCTTGATACGGGCTAAACTCAATAATCCATA